GTCTGCAAATAGAGACAATTTGGCTTCCACCTTTCCTATTTGAATACCCTTTATTTCTTTTTCTTGCCTGATTGCTCTGGCTAGAACTTCCAGAACTATATTGAATAGGAGTGATGAAAGAGGGCATCCTTGTCTAGTGCCAGATTTCAAAGGAAATGCTTCCAGTTTTTGCCCATTCAGTATGATATTGGCTGTTTGTTTGTCATAAATAGCTTTTATTACTTTGAGATCTTCTTTACTCTCTGATAGGGAAACACCAGGTTACATATAGATGATGACAAGAATATGCTTCTTGGCTTGTGATAGGAAGTCCTGGGTGGCAGAAGAGGGAAATTCAGAGATAAAATAAAGTCTAGGGATATTTCCAAAGGAGCAGCGTGAGGCCAGGAGGAGTTGCCCTGGCTCAGGAATGGGCCAGGTGTCCTTAGTTTACTTCCTTTTATTCACCCCAGATGTCTGCTGTGCAGTGATTAGTAAGGAGGGCTCAAATCAGGGGTGTGTGTGTGTGTGTGTGTGTGTGTGTGCTGATATGGTGAGGTTTTATGCAGCACTGGTTTGAGGAAGGAGATTAGTAGCGTGTGATAGTTAGCAGTAGTGGCATGTGAGGCAAAACTGAAATGTGAATGACTTAAAAATATCTTGCTCACTGAGGTAAAGGCCCATGGTTGCTGAGAACCTCTTCTCCGTCTTGGTACCTTTGAGAGTTGAGCCCCCAAAGTGTCAGGAAGAAGGGTGACAATGGCACGAGAGTTCTTTTTTAATTGGTTTTAGTAGAGAGATAGATCATATATTTTACAGTCGACCCATTTAAATTGCTACATATATCTTGCAAGTGACCCTTTTTACCAGAATTGTGCAACCATTGCCATAAGCAATCGTAGATTTTTATTACCCAAAAAGACCCCGTACACATTAATACTCACTCTCCATTTCTCAAAATGGATCCCATTTCCTTCCTATCTGCATGTGTTTATGCTTCTGGTACGTGTATGCTTAAAACATACAATTACAAATATACATACATACATGTATTATGTAATAGAACATTAAAAAGTGTGTATATACACATCCTGTACACAAGCATATGCACATATCTGTATAAGAATATATGTGTGGAATGGTCCTTAATGCCTTTTCAAATCTCAAGTTCCAAACCACATCTTTCTTGATTTATTTTACAGTTTCAAATAAAGGAAGCTTCCCACCTTCTTAAATTCTCTCTCCCCTCCCTTTGCCCCCATCTGCATCTTACCTATTTCAGTAATAGTTCCCAGTTGTTAGATTCTACATGCTGTTTAGTTACCGAGAGATACTGGCTTACTTTTGTCCTAAGTACAGCCTTCTTGAAAACAAAATATTCTGTTTTCAAAGTTATTTCTTTCTTCCATCCCTGAATGTTAGGATTCATTGCTTCTATTGTTTCCCACTTAAATATGCATCATACATTGAAATGTATTTATTTTGGCAATTTGAATTTCTTCACATGATTGGCGGTTGTCTTTGATGATGCTTCGTGCCTAGCATGTTACATCAGGAGCTAATGCTGGCAGCACCAACGGATCTCCATTCCTGATGAACAGGCCTCATTAAGTACAGTCGCAGCTTCTTGTTTTCTCTCGCCAGCGTCGGTAAACAGCGGTGAATTTAGGAGGTGTCTGTAATGCCGGAGGAAACCAATTGGAGGTCTGCAGAATTAAGGGAGTGATTTGGAACAGTTTACCCAGCCTGAAGAATTTTAAAAAAACAGTTGTTCCTTTTAACTGTCATAAAAGTGGACATTTGTGTCAGTCACCTTCAGATGTTTTCCTGTGTTATTTGTGACACCGAGAGCTGTTACTCTAAGGATGATTATACATTTAAAAGACTCTACCGTCCTCCCCTTTGCTTAGAACGTGCTGCTATCTCTTACATGTAGATATTAAAGGGAAGGCTGGCTGCGGTTTACCTGAGAACACACCAACATTCTGGCCTCAAAAACAGAAATCCCAGGTTAGGATTCTGCCTTGACCACTCACCAGCCGGGCAGCCCTTGTTGCCAGGTTATCACTGTGATATTTACCACCTTCTCTGTGAATTGCGTGGCGGTCTCGAACTCAGAGGGTCAGGCTTGGCTTCGAAGCTGCCAGGTCAGTGGAGGTACCTGGCGTGCTTAGGTGCTTACTCGGCTTTTCCCTCTTACAGTGACTGTTAGTTCACAACAGGGAATTTATATATAAAGCAAGTTTGACAATTCAGGAGTGGTATGAAAGAAATAAGCTGTGTGCATACATTCACTGTCTTGCATGTATTTAGTCTAAAATCTCAGGGAAATTTAACACCTGGATAGACAGAGCCTTTACCCAAAGCAGGTTGAAAATAGCTGGGAAAATATCTGTTATTCTCATTTATCTCTTTTTTTATTATTTTTCAAAAAGGTGTTACTGTTATTTTAATTTAAAAATATATTTTTAACATATAAAACTTTGTATTTGAAAAATAAGGACAAGTGGGCATTACAGTATAGCTGCATTAATATTTTGATATATCTCTAGTCTTTTCCTAGGCATAGAGGGATTTGATTTGTTCAGTTTAGTTATACTGACTAGATTTAGTTCTGCATGGACATTTGATGACAAGCCCTGCCTGGAGATGGGAGGGCAGCAGCAGGAACTTTTCCCAAGGAGTATCTGGATCCAGATACGAGACTGCTCCCAGAATATGAGATCCCCACTCATGAGGAACGGGTCTGTGTTTTACCTTTGCCAGAGTCGGTAGGAGAGGACATCCCTGTGCCCTCTGTCTGGGGAATACCATTCCTCATGCCATTTGCATTAATCCTGCCTTGCTTGGACGATACTTCCTGTACTCCTCTTGTCAGGAGTGGATAGATACTGTATTTGCTAAGCCTTTGAAATTCTTTTTTTTTTTTTTAATTGCATTTTAGGTTTTGGGGTACATGTGCAGAACATGCAAGATAGTTGCATAGGTACACACGTGGCAGTGTGATTTGCTGCCTTCCTCCCTTTCACCCACATCTGGCATTTCTCCCCATGCTATCCCTCCCCAGCTCCCCCTCTCTGCTGTCCCTCCCCTATTCACCCCAATAGAACCCCAGTGTGTACTGCTTCCCTCCCTGTGTCAGTGTGTTCTCATTGTTCATCACCCGCCTATGAGTGAGAACATGCGGTATTTCATTTTCTGTTCTTGTGTCAGTTTGCTGAGAATGATGGTCTTCAGATTCATCCATGTCCATACAAAGGACACGAACTCATCATTTTTGACTGCTGCATAATATTCCATGGTGTATATGTGCCACATTTTCCCAGTCCAGTCTATCATCGATGGGCATTTGGGTTGGTTCCAGGTCTTTGCTATTGTAAGCAGTGCTGCAATGAACATTCGTGTGCATGTGTCCTTATAGTAGAACGATCTATAGTCCTTTGGATATGTACCCAGTAATGGCATTGCTGGGTCAAATGGAATTTCTATTTCTAGGTCCTTGAGGAATCGCCACACTGTCTTCCACAATGGTTGAACTAATTTACACTCCCACCAGCAGTGTAAAAGTGTTCCTTTTTCTCCACATCCTCTCCAGCATCTGTTGTCTCCAGATTTTTTAATGATCGCCATTCTAACTGGCGTGAGGTGGTATCTCAATGTGGTTTTGATTTGCATTTCTCTAATGACCAGTGATGATGAGCATTTTTTCATGTTTGTTGAGCCTTTGAATTTCTAATGTCATTGGTGCCTTTGTGTGTGAGAGGTAACAGTCATTTTCACCTCCTTGACCAATATTTCCCAAGGTATATTTCCTGAAAAATAAACATGGTATAATTGAATATTATACACAAAAGCAATTCTAATTAGAAGCATTCTGGCAATGCAGACAAGCATAAAGTTTCCCCCAGAGCCTTTACCATCCTGAGGTGCACTGTGAGGTGTGTTGGCTAACTACCATTTTCAGATCGCATTCGATCATGGAAATCTTCCTTCTAAGAGCATCTTGTAGGATTTCGTTCTTCAGCAATACCTTTGGGAAATGGTGATAAACAGACTGCTGCATTTTCTTCTGGCATTTAATTTTGGTCTGTAGGAAATCTGAGGCCAGCTTGTTTCTTTTTTTCTTTCTTTCTAGATACTAACCCCTCAACACCTGCTAGAATTTGTGTATGGCTCTTTTTATTACTGTCTAAAAATGACCAAGACAAAAGGAAAACAGCTCTTCCTGTGTGTTCGGAAAGGGTCTAGACGTGCGGTCTCTGTGGCAGAGGAACTCGCGGGTTTGAAAGAGCAAGCACAACACTTTGCCTCAGGAAGCAGCACCCCAGTCCCAGTTTGCTGATTATTTCAGGCCTTGCATTTCTAATTTTGCTGGAAAACACTGGGAAAGGAGCCCACTTCTGATTTCAGTGGCAACATGGCATGGAATATATGGGCACTCCATTGTATTTTTCATCTCATCACTCTTAAGAGCCTGGATCATCACAGAAAGCTCCATGGGATTAACATGTTGTCCAAACATTGGAGTTGAGCCTGGGAACCGTTTCTTGCTCCATTTCCATCTTCAAACTCTTTTAGCAGTTACTTAAAAGCACCCTGCTTGACAGAATGTAAGAGCCAAAGTGTCTCTGTTCCCCAGATGCTCTAAGTTTAGTGGAGGCGAAGCACTTTCATCTTTGTACCACTCCTCAGTGGCTGTGGTGTGTTCTCAGGGATCAGCAAACACCTTCACTGCCCTCAAGTGGTACCAGAATAATTTGATATTAAAATGATAGTACTTGGGATTTGGTATTTCTGGTTCTTCATAGAAATGAAGGTAACAAAACAGCTTAAAACTTCACACCGGGGTTGTAAAAGCTACCAGCCTGATAGGGCTGATATATTGCCTAAGCTAATTATTATATGAGTACAGCACTCAAAATAGTACCGAACACATAGAGACAGTGTTATCTAATGTCATTTGTAATATAAGGTTATTGGTTTGACCTGAGTTAGCTTTACTTTTCTGTCTTACTTGGTAGGTCAAACTGTGCTGAAAATATCCGCAAACACATTCTGCATACTGGCAAACATGAAGGAGTCAAGATGTACAACTGTCCCAAGTGTGACTACGGGACCAATGTCCCCGTGGAGTTCCGGAACCATCTGAAGGAGCAGCATCCTGACATTGAAAACCCCGACCTCGCTTACCTGCATGCTGGTAAGGGACAGAAACTGTTAAAGTACTTGTTCCTTTTTACCAGGATTTCGTGTGGTCGTAACAGTTACAATGCTATTTGTACATTACCGTGATTTATTGAAATGGACTAGGGTATGTGATAGTATCTGTTTCAAGACTTATAAAAAGTACATTCAGTTTTATCCCACTCATCTATGAAGCAGGACTTTTCAACTGTATTTGATCAAAAAAGCAAATCTGACAAAGTTGTCATCCTACGACTATAAAGTTAACAAGAGTGAGTATTTAAAGCATAGTTGACCTGAAAAGAGAGTAGTTGTGAAATCTTCGTATTTTGACTAATTGCTAAAATATTTTTATGAAAAAATGCTTGTGATTTGAAATGTTATGCCCTATTTCTCTACACCATCATATTCCAGTGAATGCCTAGGTAGAAGGTGACCTGCGACCCCGGAGAGCGTTAAGCATCCTGGGTGGTCAGGGTGCTGCATGTTTCCCAGAAATTGGGAAGGAGCTGGCCCTGGCTTTGGGGAAGAGCTGGTTTTGGCAGTGGCCGCTAAGAGGATTCTTGCCTCTTGGATGGCAAGCCAGGTGCCCCGGAAGGTGTCAGCGATTTGGCCACAGCTGCAGAGTGAAGCAGATCTGTTCCTCCAGCCTGACATGTTGTTTAATTAGCAAGCATTTGTTGAGTGCTGAATTCTCACTGTGCAGAGCTGCAAAATGATGGATTATGGGTAAGGACCTATTTGAGGAGGTACTAATCCTGGAGTAAGTTTAGAGGAGCGTTCCAAGATTTAGCCCAAGCGGCACTGAGTTGGAATAAGGCCCGTTGATGATGGTTATGCTTTAAGCAGATGTTTTGGGACCTGTTAGAGCTACTACTTTTAAACCTTACTTCTCCATGATTGGCCGTGTGAACTCAGGCAGGCTTACCTCACCAAGCCTCAGGTTTCCCATATCCAAATCTGCATGATAGTACCTACCTAATAGGGTCTCTGTGGAAATTTAAAAGATAAAGGCTGTGAAGCTGTTCAAACGTTTTATGCCTATCTGTGCGATATGAAGGGGTAGTGAGCAGTGGTGGGGATGGTGGGGATCGTGGGGATCGTGATATAAATCACACCAGAAATGTGAGGCTCCATCTTCAAAATGCTTCAGCTGTGTTTGCTCACAAAATATCTGCATTAAAAGAAATTGAACTTGAGTAATTTAAGTTAGACTAGTTTTCTTAATACATTTGACAATATGTAGATAGAAGCTTATTAATGTTCTTTGGTATTTCTCAATCGATGTTCACGTGATTGACTTTTTAAAGTAATGTCGAGTATGTGATTTGGTAATTTTTCTGCTGTCCAGGGCTGTATTTGGCAAACAAACGAAAACAGAGGTCTCTGCTCGTTCCCTTTCGGTGTCACTGAGAAGGTTTTGAAACTAGACGGTTTATCAGCTTTAGTTCATAAAAACAGGTAAAGTCAAGTTGAAATATCTCTGGCCATAAGTGCCTATGGGTTCTTTATAAATATGGACCCATAACCTTACAGGTACCAAAAACTCCACCTGTGAAAATGCCACTCCTAGCAATGGCCAGGGCACAGGGTCTGAATCCATGGTGGGCATCAGCAAAGTGTCCCCCCTAAGGTGGGCTTGCTCTGCCTCCTTTCCAGGTGCAAGATTGGCATATTCCAGTTACACAAGAAAAACAAATTGTTCCCTAAAATGCGGTGAGTGAATAAGAGAAAAATAAAAACATTACTTTAAAAAAAAAAGACCATAAATACTGTGATTTGGTTGAGATAACATATATTTTGGTTGAGATAATATTTGGGAATTCATATATTAAAGTAAGGTGTTTTATTTTTTATTTGAAAACACTTCTGTAGAAAGAGGTTTGCGTGCAAAGGTGTTGTACCCCTTGGTACCTCTACATTGTATATAACTGCAGTGTGAGTGATGTAATTCATGCGACTAACACAAAACTGGAGTTCATGGAGACCCTGATTCAAGTCTTCATGTAAAGATGGGTATCTCTGGCCACCTGTGAGCTTCAGATTCCTTCTCGGCAAGTCTGGGAGTTTGAATGAACTATCCCTTGTCCTTGTTGTGCTTCTGTAGGCGTGACCTTCGGGGGAGGATGGGCTCCAACTTAAGCTTTATCGTTCTCTTGACATCTGGCTCTGAAAAGTGTGTTTTAACTCGGTGGGTCTCAGTTTTCCTCCTAAGATGGGGATGCTGATGCCTACCACACAGAATGTGTAAACTGACATGATCATCTTTAGCATAAATGGTTGCTCACTTGTCCCCCCGCCCGCCAAGAAGTTGATGATTTATTGTATTTTTTTCTCAATCCTTTTTGGCAACCAGTAAAATGATTTTTGTATCTTTTTCTATTTCATATTCCAGAGCATGAAAGACTATATGTGAGTTCTAATTTGACTTTAGTCAGATGAGAAGCACAAGACAATAGTGGTTTCTTTATTTTTTTTAACCATGGATTATTTGTAAAGGTAATATTCCATTTCCAGGTAGTTTGAGACTTTCTAGTTATTTTTTAAAAATGATTGAAATAGTAATACAAATCTGTTTCTAGCTTAAATTTATAGAACATAATCTGAATTACTTAAATCCTTTAAAATTTGTGTAGATGCTCTTATGCTCAGCAAATGGTGAGTTTTGGTAAATTTGTGAGACATTAGAAAAGAATACTTGGAACCAGTGGCGTTTGGTGCATAGGCTGTGTTCCCTGTATGTCAGTTGCAATGTAGTTTGTTCACTGCTGTATTTTTAGTACTTTTTAGAATGCCGGTTCTGTCAGCTGTTAAGAGGAGTATGTTAAAGTTTCCTACTATAATTGTGGATTTGTCTTTTAAAATTCTGTTATTTTTGGCTTTACATATTTTGAATATATATCACTAGGTACTCAGAGCTTAGGGCTGTTTTGGATACACAGACACTCATAATTATGAAATATTTCTTAGCAGCAACATCTCTTGCCATAATTCTTTGTTTCGTATTGGTATACCTACACCAGATTCCTTATTAGCAGCTTGTAGTGCATTTCGTGTGTCTGCTAGAGCCGTATTTAGTATTTTACATTAACTCTTTAGTCTTTTACTTCAGTATTTGTACTTAATGTAATTGTGTGTTCATCATAACCCCAAACTACCCTAATGTCCCTCAAGCAGAACGTACAAAGGTTGTATATTTACATAATAGAATATTCTGCATCAGTGAGAAGGAATGAACTACAAGTACAAGCAACAATATGAAGTAAGTCTCACAGGCCTGTCACGGATGATCAAAGCGGGTCACCAAGGAGTACATTTTACATGATTGCATTTCTATTAAATATGAAAACAGATAAGACTATGATGCTAGAAGTCAGAGTTTATTTTCCCTTGTGGGCACCAGTCACCGAATGAGGTACAGTGGTGCTAATACGATCCTGCTTCTTAATCCCAGTATTGAGACATAGTTGGGTTCAGTTTGAGAAATTCATCAAACTCTCTTCTATCACTTGCATTCTTTTCTGTATATACTTTTTAAAAAACATCTTTCTCCACATCCAGATTTCTGAAGAGGTTCATTTAGGCCCAATCTACATCTAATATGATGAGATTTTACAGTCACATTAACCTTCACAAAACTGACATCAGACTAAAAATAGGTTTCTGTCATTGTACAATTTTTCTTCTATTTAGTAAAATCTATTTCTTCTCAAATATTAGCTTGATTTGATCTCTTCAGTTTTAACATATTTCTTTCATGTCTCCCATCCATAAATAAGCTTGATACTCCTTCGCTATATTTGGACAAAGAATTAAATACATGTCAGTGTTTGCAACACCAGTGGCCTTCAGTCTGACCCCACACACAGTTCACCTCAGCAGGGATAGGGGAGTGAAGCTTTAAACATAACCCCAGAGAAAGGGGAGTGAAGCTAGGGAAGCCAGAGGTAGAGGGCTGAGGAGAGGTTGCTCAGCCTTCTCTGACTGTGCCTAAGAAGAAAGAGATGTTTTTCTCATCAGTTCCAAGCAGCAGACTTCCAGTTATGCCTTAATGGCTCAAGGAGCTGGTGTGCTGTTGAAATAGTACTCATTGCTGATGAGCAGGTGCTCACTGGAAGACCCGCGGGTAGTGTGGTCACTTTCTGAGCCCATGAGCAGTGCATCAGAGCTATGAGGTTGATTGACTTATTCCTTATCTCTCTCTGAGAAGCCGAGACCTTAAATGTAGTAAAGTGTTGGTGTCTTTTCCAAAGGTAATGATTACAAGGTGTTCTCTTTTCAGGGAGAATTGAGCATTATATATTGATACGGTGTTTTCCTTAATTTCCTTCATCTTTCTACCCTCATGCTTTTGTGTCACATCTAAGTCGATTTTATTTTCATTAGTTCTTACATATGTTAAGACTTGGTCATATAAGTATGTACATTAGGTTATTACCTGTACAGAGTGATAACACATGAAATTATCATATCTCTTCAGAAATTAGTGTTTCTTTATTCTTCTTGAAGACTATCAATTTTGTGTTCTTTATAACATGTGTTATTTAACTGCATTCGCTACATTTGCCTCTTACCGGTTACAAGAATAAGAATTGAAAAGTTTGACTGGTATCGCGAAACCTGATCCTTTCTTCTTCCTCATGGTAACTGCTCATTTAAATTTTATCTGTATCATTCCTTAATTCTTTCCAAATGCATCACTTTATCCTTAGGCAGCTGAAATTTCACATTCTGCCTCTGAGCTCGTTTACTTAATCTTTTGCAGTTAACGTAAAACAGCCATAGTCTTTTGTCTTAACCATTGCCTCTTATTTAGAAATATATTCAAATTTCCTACATAAAAATTTTCTCCATCATTAATTAGACGCATCAGTGTTCAATACATAGAACCTTGTAGGGTGCAGTCTTCTCACAAATTCCTCCGGGGCCTCTATTTTTAACCCAGTTGCTTTCAGCCCCTTTTGTTAGTTGGGTGCTCTGACACATGTCATGACATTTTGTACAATAATTCATTTCTGAAAAGGTCCAAAAATCTCAGAAAATCCTGACAGTTTCTCATTGGTTCTTCCTTACATAAACCAATTATTACTTCAACCTAAAAAGGAACAAAATTTTTCCTGACATGATTGCCTTTGGTAAATCCATGCTGACTCACTCCTATTAAGTTGTACTTCTCCAAATGTATCATTAAGCTCATCCATAAGTATCATCTCAAATTTATTTCCTAATATAGATGTTAGACTTACAGGTCTATAATTTTCAGCCTCTCCTCTCTTTCTTTTTAACCTTCAGACTGGATTCCTTGCTTTCCAGTCTCCGATACTTCACCCCTAACAAAAGACTTCCTAAAATAATTAACACTTCGGCAATTAATGATTCTTTAACCTCAGACATCATCCATGGGTTAACTTACTATTTTTCTCAACTGCTGCTAAAGTCTTTGTTCCTTTCATACCCCTGTCCAAATACTCCAGCGCTGTCTGCCATCGCAGTGCCCTCGATGTCCATTATGGCTCAGAACGTTTGGTATTTTGGTAGCTGATGTTTTTCTTCTTTCCCTTTCTCACTCTCATTCCTATTGGACTTCCTCAGTTTAGAAAGAAGGCTTTTACATGCTTTGTAGTCTCTAAGTGAATAATGTCAGAACAGTATTTTTCATCATTCTCCCGTTTTCAGTAAGGTAACTGGTATCCAGGAAAATGGGATTTGTGGATATTTATCAGTAAACGCTGTTCACTAAGAAGCAGCCCTTTGACCTGATCACTACTTCTTTTTCCTTGAATACTGAAAGAGGGATTTTTCCAACACTTTCTAATGATGCATTTTGAAATGGTTTTATAGTTGGGCACGGTGGCTTTCTCCTGTAATCCCAGCGCTTTGCTTGGCCAAGGCAGGTGGATCACCTGACATCAGGATTTTGAAACTAGCCTGGCCAGTGTGGTGAAACGCTGTCTCTACTAAAAACACAATAATTGGGCCAGGCACAGTAGCTCACACCTGTAATCCCAGCACTTTGGGAGTCCAAGGTGGGCAGACCACGAGGTCAGGAGATAGAAACCATCCTGGCCAACATGGTGAAACCTTGTCTCTACTAAAAATACAAAACTTAGCTGGGTGTGGTGGCATGTGCCTGTAGTCCCAGCTACTCAGGAGGCTGAGTGAGACAGGAGATTTGCTTGAACCCAGGAGGCAGAGGTTGTAGTGAGCCAAGATCGTGCCACTGCACTCCAGCCTGGCAACAGAGTGAGACTCCATCCCCCAACCTTCCCCCCAAAAAATTAGCTGGGCGTGGTGGTTGGTTCCTGTCATCCCAGCTATTTGGGAGGCTGAGGCAGGAGAATCTCTTGAACTGGGAGGCGGAGGTTGCATTGAGGTGAGATTGCACCACAGCACTCCAGCCTGATTGACAAGAGTGAAACTCTTGTCTCAAGATAACTAAATAGAAATAAAATAAAACAGTTTTACACTTAATCTTTTTAAGAATAACTGTCTGCCAGTGTTCTTCAGTATGTATATCTTCCTCTATCTGCCTAATACCATGGAGCAGCGTTAGAGAAGCATTTGCTCTTTCCCACAATCCTCCTGCAAGAGGGTGATCCTGATTGTTCTAGAGTGATCCAAATGGTAGTTATGTATGGTTTCCTTATGTTTTCATTAGCTAGAAAGTAGTAATGAAGAACTGTTTTCATGCTATCACATTTTACCTTGTTAATTACGAAGAATAGTAAATAGTATCTGTGCCAAACTTCTATCTAGACCATTAAATCTTCAAAACAAATCTTGTTGATACATATTATTCTCAATTTAATGGTTTTGAAAAATCCATCTTCAAGAGGTTATGTTGCTTGAGGATGCATAACTACGGTATGGCCATATTAAATTTGCAGCTGTCTTCAGAGTCTTACAGTTACATAACCCTGCTGTACAGGAGCTTTAAAATAATTGGTCAGCAGGTTAATGAAATTTTTACAGTGGAAACCTTAAAAATTTGGAGGTTTAAGGTTTCAAATAGGCTGGGTGCGGTGGCTCATGCCTGTAATCCTAGCACTTTGGGAGGCTGAGGCGGGCAGATCACAAGGTCAGAAGATCAAGACCAGCCTGCCCAACAGAGTGAAACCCCATCTCTACTAAAAATGCAAAAAATTAGCCGGCTGTGGTGGCGGGCACTTGTAATCCCAGCTACTTGGGAGGCTACGGCAGGAGAATTGCTTGAACTGGGGAGGCGGAGGTTGCAGCAAGCCGAGATTGTGCCATTGCACTCCAGCTCAAGCGACAGTGTGAGATTCCATCTCAAAAACAAAACAAAACAAAAAACAAACAACAAAAAGATTTCAAATCATCTAAACACATATATTAGGAAGTAGAATGAAATGATATAGTAATTTTAAAACACCGTGGTAAATGTTTTCACAGTTGCACCTTTCCTGCCTAGTTGAGAGCCTTCACACAGACAGGTGGATGGGTGGAGTCAAATGAACTAGGTTTCAGGATGAGCTTTGTCACCATTGAGATGTTTCACTTTGAACGAGTCACTCTAGCATTTTGTGTCTGTTTTCTCAACTGCAAAAAGAATAACATTGTTGCTTTTCTTTTGAACATGAGGTACAAATTAGATAATCCATATGAAAGAGCTTGAAAAGTATAAAATTACCATTCTTTTAAGGAAGGTACTGGATTTTGTTATTGATATTTTAATGGTAATAAAGTAGAAGAAAAAGACAAATTTTTTTTTTGCATGTATTTCAAGTTGCTATTAAGGGTAATGAATCTCCTAACAATAAACAGATATGTGTACACATTAGTATTCATATATATTAGTGTAGCAGTCTGAGCATATACTAAACTTAGTGCTACAGAAGGCCTACTTAAAACTTTTCAGAGTAAAAACTTATCATATAAATACTTTATTTAAATTCTTTCTATTCTTCTTTACCTATGTGGAGGAAAAAAACCACACTCTGTTAGATATTTAAAGCTGTTTATCCTGGGCTAAATATGAGTGACCATGGCCGGTGACACAGCCTCAGAAGGTTCTGAGAACAGGTACACAAGACGGTTGGGTTATGGCTTGGTTTTATATATTTTAGGGAGCAGAATTATAGGCAAATACATAAATTCAATGTATGTAAGGTATACATTTGTTCGGCCCAGAAAGGTGGGACATCTCAAGCAGGGAGTTGGGAAGCTCACATGTCATAGGTGGATTCAAAGATTTTCTGATTGGCAGTTGGTTAAGATAAGCTTTGCCTAAAGACTTGAAGCCAGCAGAAAGAAATGCTTGAGTTAAGAAAAGAGGGGTTGTAGAAGCCAAGGTTTTTATTATATAGATGAAGCTTCCAGGTAACTGACTGCAGAGAGAATCCATGGTAAAGGTCTCTTACAGGACCTTAAAAGGTATTAGACTGTTAGGTAAATCTCTGCTGGATCTGGATAATTATGGAAAGGGATGGGGAATCTCTACAGACTGCAAATTTCCCCAATAAGGGATGGCATTCCAAGACCATTAAAACATAGTTCAAAGAAACATATTTTAGAGGTAAAATACTTTGATTTCTTATAAGACCTGCTGTCTGTCATGTAATGCTACACCAGAGTCAGGATGGAGCTGAATATCTTGTTGCTGTAAAGAGTCTGTTCTGTCAATCTTATGATCTCTCTTTTAATGGGAATGCTGGCCAGTTGTGCCTGAACTCCAAAGGGAGGACCTTGTAAGGAGGCATGTCTAGGCTGCCTTCCTTTCATGTCCTGAACTCGTTTTTCGGGTTTCTTTGGGGATCCGTTTGGCCAAGAAGGGCTCCATTCAGTCAGTTGTGGGCGGGGGCTTAGAATTTTATTTTTGGCTTATACCTACTATGTACTGTAGTTTTAAAACTGTTTTTTCAAAAGAATATCATCCTGAAAAGTATCCTTTCTACTGTATATTTCAGCGATCTGTAAAGTCCTGAGTGGCATTCATAAATTTAAAATAAAGTTAGAGTACACAATTAAAACACAGCTTTTGATGCTAACAGCTAACAAAATTGGCCGAAAATGGGTCTCAGGCTCTCAGCTCACTCATGCTCATCCTCTCACTACAGGATCTTAAGGAAAAGTTTTAAAGCGATGTTTAACTTTTTTCCAGGAAAAAAAAAAAACTGTATTCTCCCCTTCCTTGGGGTTGCTGGCCAAGTGTGATGGCCTGTATGATTCCAGCTGCACCAGCGCTTCCTTTCCAGCTCCCTTCCCCGGTGCGTCAAGGTCACTCAGGCGCATGGCATCCACTCACCTCATCGGCAGGCAGCATTGTGATCTTATCAGAGCTCGCATGTGCAGCATTCATGAACTGGATTCTGAAAGTTAAAATCGTTTAAAGAAAAAAGTAAACAAAATTGAAAATTGTGATCTTATCCCTTCTGACAACTTCATTTATCAAAATTTTAAGGGAAAAAATTGATTGTGACGTTATAGTGGGGGCAGTATGATTTTATCAGGTAATTGATGTGGTTTTTACTTTTATGTAGACTGTTTATCAACTATTTAATTCAATATAACTTCTATATTTTAAAAGTTCGCACGCCCTCACACACCTGTTTTGACCCCCACCTAAACAGCAGTTTCAAATGAGGGGAACAAAGGCTGAGCTTTCCAGTCCTGTTGCTAATACTGCGTACCAGGTTCCTGTTCCAGCTGGCGCTGGGGACTGAAGAATAGCATGACAAGTCTTTCAGATTCTGAGGAAAATTTAGATACACTGTTTAGCTTTGAAATGTAGTTCAGAATATGAAGTAATGCAGGTTCTCACTTTTGCAATTTCATTTCTTTATTTTTACAGTGAGTAAAATTACCGTTTAGCAAGTTTTTATCTTAAATGATATTAAACTTACAGAAAAGTTTGCAGAAATAGTACAGAGTTCCATGTCTTCTTCACCCAACTTTCCCAAATGTTAACACCAAACATACCCATACTACTTATGAAAGCCAGAGAATTCAGCGTTAATACATTGCCATTTTCTATGCTATATTCTTTTATTCAGAGTTTATCATTTTTCCACTCACATCCTCCTTCATTCCCAGAATTCAGCCCAGAGACCAACTTGTAGTTGCCGCGTCTTTTTAGTCTTGTCCAGTCCAGGGCAGATTTTCAGTCCCTTGGCACTTCTAAGGAATATGGATCTGTTATTTTGTAGAACGTCTCTTAATTGGGGTTAGTGTAATGTTTACTCATGTTTTGACTGAAGTCACTTAAGAAAACGCCAGAGGAAATGTGTGCTATGCCTGGAGCACCCTGTGACTGAGGACGTCTGCCTGGCGCTGGGAGTGAGGCGGGATCTTCACAATGGTTTTACCTTTTTATGAGCACGCATCTAGAGAGGGTCTTTCAGACCATGAAAATAGCCCATTTCTCCCCAGTCATTTGCCCATTACTTTTGACATTCGTTAGTAGATCCTGACTGAATAAGGTCTGTGATTTTTCTTTCCTTCGTTTCTTCTACAATTAATAATTGGAATTCTTCTGTAAGGAATGGTAACCAGTTCCTTCTTTTCCAATGATTGGTTCTGTTTATTTTGATCATTGTGGAGGTGTTTTACCCTGAGGTTTATAAGTCTGTACCATCGTGGCCTATTTCCTTACTGAAGCCACTCCTGCCTTAACCGCCCCCTTCAGTCAGCTCCCGTGCCCTGTGTGCGCCTCCACCCTTTCAGGGACATCGCTTTACTTTTCTGGCACTAAAGTGTTCTGTGGGCTCACCTTGTGTTTTCCTTACCATGGTCCTGAGATGAATCACTCCTTTGAGGAGCCCTGGTTTCCTTGGTTGGAGAGTGGTGTGTATAAGCCAAGATACATACACTGTGCGGACTCGTTGCTTCTGTGTACTTCTGCTTCTAGGCCTTTTCAGCAGATAAACAAGGAAGTGTAGGCACGTATACTAAGCCCTGCATTCCTGTGAATATAGATGTTTTTCCCTAGCTCTCTATCTAGAACATAAATGGTATCCAAGACCTAAATATAAGAAATAAAACTGTAGGCCAGGCGTGGTAGCTCACGCCTGTAATCCCAGCACTTTGGGAGGCCGAGGCGGGCAGATCACTAGGTCAAGAGATCGAGACCATCCTGGTTTCACCATGTTGGTGAAATACAAAAAGTAGCTGGACTTTTTGTATTCTACTAAAAAAATACAAAAAGTAGCTGGACATGGTGGCATGCGCCTGTAGTCCCAGCTACTTGGGAGGCTAAGGCAGGAGAATTGCTTGAACCCAGGAGGCAGAGATTGTAGTGAGCCGAGATTGCGCCACTGCACTCCAGCCTGGCGACTGGCAACAGAGCAAGCCTCTGTCTAAAAAAGAAAAACAAAACTGTAAAAACCCTTCAAAAGGAATATACAGATAAAGCTTTGTGACCTTAAATTAGGCAGTTGTTTCTTGGATGTTACTCCAAAATAACAGATAACAAAAGGGAAAAAGAAAGGACTTCATCAAAGTGGAAGATTTTGTGCTTCAAAGGGCACCATCAAAAAGATGAAAGGAAAGCTTATAAGATGAGAGAAAATATTTTATAAATCTATCTGATAAGGGTCTTGTATCCAAAATATGTATAAAATACTCTGTCACTCAACGAGAGCTAGGCAAATAACCTAATTTAAAAATGGACAAAGGATCAGAGTAACCACTTCCCCAAAGACAGTATACAAATGGCTGGTGAGCCGTTTGACAACATGGAAATACGCTCAACACCATTACTGGTTAGGAAAATGCAAATAAAAACCACAGTGAAATTCCACAGCTAGGTTTTTTTTATTCTTTTTGGCAATTATGAATAGAAAGGCTATAAAATTCACATATAAAATTCTGTGAAGTTAAGATCTCATTTTCTTGGGTGTATACCTAGAAATGAGATGCTTAGATTATATGGTATATTTAACTGTCTAAAAAAAACTGTTGAACTATTTTCCAGCGTAGTGTGTTCCCGCCAGCAGTGTGTGAGTTCCTGTCACTCCAAATACTCACCAGGAACTCGTCTTGTGGTTTTAGTTTGTATCCAACTGATCACTAATGCTGTTGAGCATCAATTCTTGATTATTTGGTGCCAGTATATATTCTTTGATGAGGTATCTTTCGAAATATAATATTTTTGCCCTTTTTTTCATTAGGTTGAGTTTTGTGATAATTTTTATTCTATATTTTTGACTTGAGATCTTTGAAATATGATTTGCAAATATTTTCTCCCAGTCTGAGACACGTCTTTCCTTTTTTCCTCTTAACAGTGTCTTTCATAGACAAAAGTTATAATATTCATAAGGTCCAGTTTATTTTTTTGTTTATGCTTTGAGCTTTTGATACAATATCTAAACGCTATTTGCCTAACTAACTTGTTACAAAAAATAATTCACATATTTTCTTCTAGAAGCTTTATGCTTTTATTACACTTTACATTTAGGTCTATGATCTATTTTGAGCCAATTTTATATAACATATAAGGTGTAAGTCAAAGTTATTTATTTTACATACAGATGCCTCATTTTTTTCTAGCAACGTGTGTTGAAAACACTGTTTTTTCTTCATTAAATTGCCTTTGTTCTTTTGTTGAAAATAAGTTAGCAACATTTCTTTGGGTCAGTTTGTTTACTCTATTACCCTGGCAATTTCTCAAATAAGCATACATGGGTTTTAATTTTATCCTTAAAATGCCGCAATTGGATATGTGCATTCCTCTCAACTGTGTCCCATCTCCTCACTCATCTGTGATGTAATTTAAACTCATCACAAATATGTTCGGTTTGTCACTGGTTCTTCTTTTTCCTGAATGACGTTGAACTCAGTGGAACTCACTGTGCCTAATATTTATTACAACTGAACATTCAAAATAAACTTATGGGCAAATAAAATTAGATCTGCATATTTACATTCAGAATGCAGTACCTAGTAAAATTATTATTCTTTTATACTTTATGTTATCAAATCAGAAAATGTTTTCACTCTTCGTGTATGATATGATTCTTCTCTGGTGGTAAATAATACCGACCAATTTAGTATTTTGCATTCACTATATTTTTCTCATCACCTAAGAAATGTGCTTTAATAAAAAAAAACTGCTACCACCACCTCATATCTATCCAGATGCCCACTGTGAGAAAAGTAGAGAATAGTGAGTGTGGACAAGGATATAGACAAATTGGAACCCTTGGGCCCTGTTGAAGTGAATGTAAAGGGTGCAACTGCCGTGGAAACAGAAGGGCAGATCCTCAAAGAACAAAACCCAGAATTATCATATTATCCAGTAGTTCCACGTTGGCATGTATATCCAGAATCATTGAAGGCAAGGTCTTGAAGAGGTATGCATACATCTGTGCTTATCGCAGCACTATTAATACTGAAAAAGTGGAAGAAACCCAAATGTCCATCAGCAGAAGAATGGATAAACAAAGTTTATATATGTAAAAGTTACATATTATACAGTGGAACATTACTCAGCCTTAAAAAAGAAGGAAAATCTGGCACATGCTATGACATGGATGAATCTTGAGAATATTAATGAGTTAAGCCAGTCACACAAGATGGCTTACATTGGTAAGTATCATTGCATTATAATTCCACTTATGTATGGTGTCCCTAGAGTAGCCAAAATCAAAGAGACGGAAGGTAGAATGGTGGTTGCCGGGAGCTGCGGGGAGGGAAGGTGGGGCGTTGTTTGACCGGGCAGAGTTAACAGTCCTGTAAGAGACTCGTGCCGTAATGTGGTGGTGCTTAATTAACACTGCTAAAATGTCCACATAAAACTGGTTAGGATTGTAAATTTTATGTGTATTTTACCACAGTTTTTAAAAATCACATATACAAAATGAATTACGTACCCCTGTTTTTTCTGTCTTCCACATATAACCATTGTAGAAGATATTAAATAAATATCTTGATGGGTGAAGTGCCATTCAGGACAGAGATTTTATTGTGGTAGGAAAAGTGAAAGTGGGGAAGAGTGAATACAAAAATTATACCAACCAGCCTGACCCTCTGACATTTACTAGACTAAACATATGTTATGTGATACGTGCTGTCAGTATTTGAAGAACATCGATTTACCGAGGAGCTATGTGAAGGAAGATGTGTGAACTTACAGACACACTTACACGTCCTTGTTTTCTTTTTTTGTTTTTATTTTTCCTAAGTAAGATTAAAAACACTTTGATACAGTCCTTTAATAGGTAAAAATTTATCCTTGTAAAGTAATCACTTAAATCCCCTAATGGCTTTTACTGCCACAGAATATGGTGTAGGCCCCACCTAGATAAAATAGCATTTTTGATGGCTGGTCTAGATCCTTCTGAAAAGCTCTGCACAGACATGTTCACTCTTGTCATAGCTCGGAGTGTGGTTTCTTGAGTAGCATGTCATTGTGATTGGCAGGAAGTCATTCTTTCTTCTTGTGAAAAATTATAATTTTAGTGCATGCCTAAAATAAAAGCCTAGCATAAATGGTTTCCTGTTTGTGAAGGAAAAGGCAAGATTCTTTCATGAGCAGTATAGATGAATTTAATCACCACTGTATGGAATATAAATTTCATTTTTTTCTCATTGGGAGAGTACTTTTATTGGAGAACTACCTTTTAGGATTTCCTCCGCATTCCTTGTCTGGTTTCGTTAAGTTAATATCAGTTATAACACCAGTTTCTTTCCAGATGTTGGCCAGGAATGGATTTGAATTTTGTTGTCTTAAATAGAAACAACGTCTCAAACTAATTAAATACTTTT